ACACACACACACACACACACACACACACGCCATCACCTACACATATATCCACCAGGTCGTCGGAAAAAATTCCACCGCCACCGTCACATACACACATCTCCACTAGGCCGCCGGAAAAAATTCCACCACCGCCGAAGCAATGCGCCGCAGCCGCCGGAGGATCCCCGCCATCACCATCCCACACCACGCTTTCTCTCTCTCTGCCGCACAAACACAGCTCCGTCACAGTCATTCTGCCGGCCGCCGCGGTTCGTATCCGGTGAAGCCAACCCGTCGATAACAACCGGCGACCGAAGCGCACCACACCGACGAACAGGACAACTGCCGTCTTGCAGGCCCATTCCGACCTCCAGGAGCAGTCAACCACCGAGATCCGCCGCCTCTCACAGACAATAACCATCGACCACCGCCGTCAAGACCCGCCGTCGGACGCCGCGGGGAGTGGTGCAGTCCCAACAGATAACAGAGGAAGTTGAACGGACTGATTTATGCTATTTGGAAACAAAATTAATTTTCTGAATTTTGTTGGCATCAAGTTGAGAATTATAGAAGCTCAAAGGACTCCTTTGCAATTTAAGAAATTTGAATATATTTCAATTTAACCCATGAGCCAAATCTGTAATTTGTAAAAAATATATAAAAATATTATTTTTATATGTATTTTTATACAAATGTTTATTATGTATATTCAACAAAAAAAAAAATATTACATAAATCTATTAACATAATTAATATATTTTTCATAATATAAATAATAATTAATATATTTTTATAATATAAATAATAATTTATTTTAGTTCTTTAGGTTAATTCAATGTACAACTATATCTACTAATTACAGGTTTCAAAAACACATAATATATACGTGATCATATAAATCATAAATCATAAATCAGTGAACTTTATATATCATCAAGTTGCACTTTATAAAACGACATGTTGCACTTTATTATCAGTCCACAATCTAAGTCCCACGTGTCCTGCCAAAATACCACACAATATAATTATAAAAAATCGGATATATATAATCTTTAATCCACACAATACAAGCATGACAACGTATCAAAATTACAGTTGTTCACTTTATATATCAGTACGTTGCACGTTATAAAACAACGCGTTGCACTTTACAAAACGGCATGTTGCACTTTAATACGCTATCAGATTGCACAATAGAAAATGAAACCAACCGGCCTCGAATTTTTTCAACCTAAAATATAATGAAAATAATAAATAAAATTAGTAAAGTATTAAATATAATTTTGATACGTTACACTTTACACTCTACCAGATTGCACAATGACAACGTGTGAAAATTACAGTAGTTCACTTTATATATCAGTACCTTGCACTTTATAAAATAACGCGTTGCACCTTACAGAACGGCACGTTGCACTTTAACACGCTATCAAATTGCACAATAGAAAACGAAACCAACTGAACTCGAATTTTTTCAACCTAAAATAATATAAAAATAATAAATAAAATTAGTAACGTATTAAATATAATTTGGATATAAATAAAAAAATCGATTATTTGGGATAATTTAGTTAACTGAACCGAATGTATTAATTAATTATGTTCATTATCAATTTGACTTCGGACAAGCGTTCAGTTGGTTCGAAATGCACAATACAGACCGAGACCGTGCACTATAGTGTTGGACGAATTGCACTTTAATAGTTGATATATTGCATAATATATTTTATTTACGTATATACTATTTTTTTAATCAAACAATAATATAAATTATTAATTAAAAAATATAAAATATTAATAATAAATTATATGAAAAAATTAAGTTGAAATAACCATACATATATTGTTAAATTATTTATCAACATTCTATATTTAATAGATATTTTATAAATAATATAATTAATCACCATTTATATTATCATGAATTCTTCCAAAGAAAGCAAGCAGCAAGTCACGATTCACACAATTAAAGCGCAAGCAGCAACTCCATCTCAAATTAAAGCGTAACTACCTCAAATGCAGTTTTTAAAATTGTAAATTAATCCCTATAGTTTATCTAATTTACATAAAAGAAACCCCACAAATTAAATTAGTTCATTCCTCTGTCTTGTCAAAAAGAAAAACTCATCCTTTGTCATGAACATTTTTTTCTAGCCGTGCATCCCCTTTAGCACACCAACGGCATCGGTTCACACACAACAGCAGCTGCCGCCGGACCGCCGTTTCTGTCGCGTCGCGTCACCGCATTCCGCCGCTTCATAGCATCGTCACTGTAAGGCGGTGGTTGAAGGCAACGTTATCGGCGAGGGTTCTCTGGAAGGTGGGGCTTTCTAAACACCGACGAGAGTTTTCTCGATGGCCGCCGGCAAATAGAATGGAATTGGCTAAGAATCGTCCTCAACGAACTTTTCCGTGGCGGTTATTATTTTTCGGCGAGACCCACTGTAGCTGGGTGGACCTCCGGCGGCGATAGTGACTGCACTGTCGGTGGAAGGCGACGGGATCTTCGACAGAACCGACGGTCTGGTGTGCGGCAGTGGGTAACTGGGCATTGAACGAGGATTTGCAGTGGGTGGAGTACGGGCGGCGAGATGAGAGGCGGCGGCGGTTGTGCAGGAACAGACGGAGGTGACTGTGTGGCGGTGCTCCGGTGTCCGGAAGGTGGGCTCGAAACTGATGGCTGTTGGTGGAAGGCGGCGGCGATGTGGTGGTTGGTCTGCGGAAATCTGTATGTGTGTGTAGTGTGTGTTCAGTGCGTGAAGATGAGAAAGAGAAGGGGTTGAGGAGAGATAAAAATGTGTGTTGAATTGATTTAATGAGTGGGTCCCACTTTATATGTTTATTTACCACCTTACCATTAATTATTGGTCAAATACACATATTTGACTACACTATGGTCAATAATTACCAGATTGCCATTAATGATTTACCATAATTTGACTTCATCATAACCACTGATATGCTTGATCCCATGGTCCAAACTTATTCTCATTTCTCGCATTAAGAGTCATTCTCATAGGATCCTTTCTCTCTCTCTTATATATATATTGTCGGTTAATTATTTTTATCTTTTTCCGATCGTCGTTCGAATTTTGGATTAAAGAGAACTGAGCTTATTTAATTTAGTCGAACCGTTGGAGAAACTCGGCCCAAACGCCACGCGCACCCGCGCACCTCGCCCGCTTTCCCTTTACCTGGTTGGCAAGACTTCTTGCCCTAAGTCTTTTATATATATATGTGAGATGTTCTCCCTTTCATTGTTTTACGCCGCTATCACTCCCTCATTCTCTTTATCTCTCTCGCCCTCCACTGCTCATTTCTCTTCTCTCTCGTATCCGACCGCCCCTCACTTCACCATCACCCCCGCTTTCAAGTCATCGCGCCCTGGCAGTCGCGCGCCCCGCGTCGCACCAGCACCCGACGAACCCCTCCTCGCGCAGCGCATCCCCGGCGAACGTTCCACGAGCCAAGATCATCCGAGAAGCAACGATCAAGCCCCTCTCTTCTGTTTTTCATAGACGTCGCCGTCCAAGTACACCAAGTCCCGCACGAGCCGAGTTCACCGTCGAACGCCCGCACGTTGCCTCCTTGCTCCGTTTTCTCGTCTCCCCTTCGGAGTACGGTAATGGGTGGCTTACTCGGACATAATTTTGATATATATATATATATATGTGTGTGTGTGTGTGTGTGTGTGTGTGTGTGTGTGTGTGTGTTTATATGCTGTAGGGGTGATTTATTGTTGTTTTGGTATTTATATGATTATGTAATTATGTTAAATTGTGTTCGTCTCTTCGGTTTAATATCAAAACTAAAGGACATGGTTGAATTTCGTGGAAATCCTGGAGTTATAGGTAATTTGGAATGTCCTTAATCTGTTAGTTCAAGTCTTGTGTCGTTTTGATGTTTGTGCTTTGAGTTGTGAATTTTTGAAGTTGATCATGCTACTGTACTTTGTTAAATCATGAAAAATCGAGTTCTGATGCTTTTAATGTGAATTTTTGATATGTTGGTCCTCCGATGTTGTTGTTTAAGTGGTACAATTCTCAGGTCCAGATTAGATGATTAACTAGGTCAAATGTCGATTTTGAGTTCTGGCCTAAATCTTGTAAAAAATTCATATAAAATAGTATGTTGCTGTAAATGAGTTGATTTTTTTATGTGTTGCTGTTCTCTGGGAATTACTGCTTGTGTCAACATTTCAATTTAAAATTCGAATGTTTGACTGGGGAACTAGGAATTTCACTTTATGGCAGTTATTTTGCAAAAATTATTTCTCTGGGTTAAAATGATTTTTGAAGATGATCTCTGGTGTACTTGTGTGTTTTTGAGTGTATTTTGATGGGTCAAAATTTCATTGGAATCGGTCGAGTCGATTTTAAAAAGGTTCGGATAATATATCTAACTGGTCCGCTGTCCAAGGCCTGCCAGGGCCACCTGCCAGGGCCACTCTGCGCCCAGGCCCGTGCCAGCGCCCTGGCAACCCTGACAGCACACAACCGAGCCCTGTTTTGGCTCTTTCCCGACCCGTTTGACTTCCTTGTGACCCACCACTTTGTTTTACGTGCTTAATGTGTTCTAAATGTCATTTAATTGGTTTTTCGAGTCTAGTGGTTTACTCCAAAGTTTCCAAACTCCGGTAAAGGACCCACGAATCACTTAGTCGATAATGTTCGGCTAAGTGAATGTGTTGTGAATGGCTTTAAGTGTCGGAATAGTTGTTCATAGGACTATTCTTGATGAATGTAGGTATTTGATGAGCAGTGCTCTCATCCTACCAGCTTTTGTGTGCTATTTGCTACTTCGGTATCCAAGTGGGTTTATTTAAAATGCTATGCTGTAAATTTCATTATGTCTGTTGTATGGTATGATCAATGTATGCATGTGAACCATGTAGCCTTCGATGTGAGCTGTACCGGCCGTCGAACGGTTATCCCTGGAGCTATAAAACGGACCTCGTTGGGGTAATCTCCTCTTTACGTCCTCTGCGAAGGACGCGTCGCCTGTAAGACCAGGGCATAGGTCCTCTGCCGGCGATTAGTACCTTGATGTAAATCCAAGGCAGAAACCTTGGCCGTTGGGGGGAGACTCCTACTGTTAGGGCATCGTTATAAGACCTGAGCGAAGGCATATGATACATGGACCGACAGTAGTCTATGCGTAGGTGTGCACATGAGAACAAACTTTGGATAGGAGATGGGATAGTTAATTGATTTGATACATGCTGCGACCATTCCTGTCTTATATTATTTGTTATTTATGTGCATAGTGGTGAGCACCACGGATTCCATATTGTGCTCATCCCCACTTTTTCTTCCCAGAGTGATGCAGGTTAAGTAGGTTGCGGGCACGGCGAGGCGAGGCGAGTGGTGGTCGGTCTAGATGACTAGACCATTGATTGTGTTGCTTCCGCTCTATTTGAGTTTTATTATGCCTATGGATATTTTCGAACTCTGGATATTTATGATGTGTTGAAACACTGCAGGGGAGATGCCTCGTTTGACATTATGATGTCTTTACTTTGGAATTTGGAAACCCGGTTTGGGTGTTTGTTGACTTTGGATGAAACCCTGGATAGGGTGTTGATTTATGTTTGAATGTCATTGCTATGACTTTATTTATTAAAATGACTTTAGAATAAATGAGTAACACCACAAAAGTTTGAAATGAATTTTGAAAAATTAAATTAATTTTTCTGAAAGCCGTGGATTTTTGTTAAATCAAAGTGGGGTGTTACAGAGTGGTATCAGAGCCAGTCTGCGTTTCTGTAGACTGCTATATGTGAATTATGTGAGCTCTATGAAATATTTAAATATCATGATGTGATTATGACCACTCGCTTTCGTCGTGCCGCGCCAACTCAGGTATGATTACATAAGTGATATCAAATTGCTTATGATGTGAATTGATGTATTATGTTGTTTTTGGGGCTTAGGAATTTACCCTCCGTATATGTGGACTTTCTCTAGTGGTATAGAGTTAAGTTATAACTTTAGAAGCTCGTTGTTGTGAGTTTTCGGTATGATGTTATTAGATTGAGTGTCTGTAGCAGTTTTCTCGCTACAAGAGTTCGTTTAGTGTCCTCAGGATAGGACCATTCGTGATCTATCTCGAAAGAGCAAGGTTAAGAACCGAGTAAATCCCTATTGCAAGTGATTACTCCGAGAACTAGAACCCTTGTCGATAGGACCATCGGATGCGTGTTAATACCCAGTCAATGAGGACCGGGAGTGACGTTAAGGTGCCACGTTCAGGTTGCTGATCGACCCCCATAATTAAGGAGAATCTAGTGCGTATCACTGTCGCGACTCTCGAGGGTGGCTAGGCCTCAGGAGAGGCGATGGTGGTCAAGTCTCGTGCGTTAAATTGAGCGGAAGTCATNATTGTGATATATTAATTATTGCTTGCCATTTTGAATGTCTAAATATTATATGTCTAATTGCCAATTGTATATTTTGATTAATAATATTAGTATTTTAAAATCAATGTACGTATTTAATTTATATTGTCTGGAGTTTTGTTTATTTATCGTGCGATCGATTGGAACTGTCGAAATTAGTAATCGGAGAACCCGAGCCCGAGAGCTGGATTTATTTTCGTGTGATTGAATCGGGCCCGATAGCCGAATATATATTAACGTGCGATTTTATCGAGCTCGAAAATACCCGCGCGAATCAAACCCAAGCCCGTGAGACGATTTAATGTCGCGAATTGGCCCATTGGCCCAAAACCCAGTTCGGCCCCATGTATAAACCGGCCCATCAGCCCAAAAATTCGGTCCTCTCTATTGTAGGAGCGTGAATTGTATTTTCTTATAAGACAAGAAAAAGTCAACCCTAGTCTATTTGTGTATATATATATATAAGTTGTATCTATCTCCCCTCTTTCTCTCTTATAAGACAAGAAAAAGTCAACCCTAGTCTATTTGTGTATATATATATATAAGTTGTATCTATCTCCCCTCTTTCTCGTCAAATCTCCTCGTGCGCAGCTTTTCCGATCTTATTTTCTCTCGTCACAAATCAGAGACGCGCAGCTCATCGATCTTTCTCTCACACTCTATATCTCATCTCGTTTTCTCTCAAAAACCCGACCAGCATCCCTTTTCTCGCCCCTCTCATCTACCTCTCGCAGAAATCCCGTCGTCGCCCTGTTCTCTGTCCGCGACCCAGCAATCCCGACGAATTCTCCTATGCGATTCCGTCACGCTGTAACTCCTCCGCCGACCCACCACCGCGAAGCTCTGCAAGTTCCGTTCAGCCGCTGCAACTCCTCCCCGACGACCGGCGAGCCCCTGTGATCGTCTTCTCCACCGCACGGCACCGCGAGAAGCCTTTCTTGTCCGCTGTTCGTGAGTTTTCCGGCGCCTGCAAACCTCCCTCCGCCGCGAAGATGCTCTCCCGCCACCGCGACGAGCCCGCCGTCGCGCACGTTGACCGGCAGCTCTCTGCCTGTACCTGCTCCGTCCGTGAACAG